AGCAGTCTCAAGCTGGACTACAGCTGGGGATGAAATGAGGTTCTGGTAGTTTTCACACAAAGTTGCAATGAGGTGGTCTCTTGGTCTGCTTGAGATTTTTTAGAAAATCTGGCTCTGTTGGCATTTCTGGTCGCTTAGAAAAACAATAAAAGTTGTGTAAAGAAGGCGCATTTGAGATCCACCGCAACAGTGGCAAGTATGCGTTTGAAGAAAAGCATATGCTTCCCCTATGATTTCCTATTCTCAAATTTGCCTTATTTGGTATCACGATTGTTTAGTAGACGCCTTCAGAATATGAATACGCCTAGAGAAGCCCTCTCATTAGAGTCCACTCAAAGGTGTGCGCATATGTACATACACATGACGAAATCTGTCGTCTTAAAAATGGTGACATTTTCACACAGTAATCAAGTGAGAAGTGCAATTTTCATGTTTTACGACTAACGAATCTTTCAGATATTTAATTGCTAACTTACTTATCATCAGAAGAAGCTATAAATATCTCTGCCCTGCATTTCATTGTATTAACTGCAAGAACGTTACAATAATGAAGCCACCAAGTTTGGTCAAGGCGCAAATACTGTAATGCATGTATCAGCTCATCAGTTGTGGTTGCCAGGATTTGAGAGAAACCAAACACCACTTATGTAGTTATCGACAGGGTGTCAAGCATTCCTTCCAGCCATTCCAGAGCTGCTGGAGGAAAATGTCTCTTCCTCGGATGGATTGATGCCTAATTGAGGAGCGGAAATTGGTCTGCACCGCAGCCTTCCCCTCAGAAGCTACTTCATGACCTGACTTCTGAGCATGACTTTGCCTTTTCTCACCACATGAAGAAATTGAAAAATGAGACAAAATCTCAAAGTAAACCGAACCATTACAATATCAGTGGTCCCACGTGTTCCTTCAAAATTGGAGATATGAGGGCCACAGATTGTTGTACAAACAGTGGTGGTAATAATGCGCGCATTACTCGCTCCTCGGGATTTTTGACAAAGCGTTCCCTGTCCTCCATGCATGTGTAAAATAAAATACTTGTGTACGACAAGGTCCGGATGAGTCCCTCCGGCCTGGTAGCAATAATTTGACATACACACACATCCAAGTTTCCTCTGCATTGAGACAACCCAACAAGTAGGAAATTACCACCAAAGTCTTTTCTGCAGAACTTGACTCTTTTCTTCTCGACGTTGACAATCCATCGAGGCAACATTTGGCTTTCTAATAATTCCTACGGTCCGAACAAGTTCCAGAGAAGAGCCATTCAGAGAATTCGTTTGAACTGATTTCGGCCGTGTTAGAATTTTAAGATTTCCTCACTCGTCCCTTAACAGGGCTGTAAATGATGTAAACGAAGGAGGCCTAGGGAACAATAAGGGTCGCTCTTGTTTGCCATCAAAAGATCATGTGGACAATGATCCCTGTTTACGAGTCAGGAGATGAAAGTCAATTGACCATCGTTTATTTATTGTAAGAAATGTTTCTCTTTGCCATCTCCTTGTTTACTTGTTGAGGGGCCAGAACACCAGGGCTGTTTCGGAGGAGAGCATGTGTCACCGTGATCGTTACCTTCTTTGCTGGTTAAGTTGGCCGGATGTGAATCGTTACATGCAGAAGACGCAGGCAGGGATATTACGTGATGTCCCTCTTTACACCACTCACTCGAGTGATAAACAACTTTATTGGTGTTGAGTGATGGACACATAACTCGCGTTTTGGTGTTGCCATCTTTAGCCATTGGAAATCCTACCCTTATTTTATGATGTCAAAGATTACCATTAAAACTTTTCTCTTCCGTGCACTTCAAGGAAAAGACAGGAATTTATATTTCCACCAGTTGGACATCTGCTTCTTGACCTGAGATTCCTTTGTTTGCCGTAATAATAAACCATCTCCATTAGTCGCCTCGAAAACGATTTGTTGTGATAACAAAATTCAATCAAAGTTAACGCATAGCTTCACTGTATAGTGCATATTTACCCGTAGAAAACCTACAGAAATAAAGGCTCACCAAAAACAATCAACATTTTGACATCAATTGTTATTATTCTCGATTGGAATTTAAGAGTTAATACCACCCGAACATAATAGGCCTGGATATTGATAATGTAAATTTTAATTTTACGTCATGAAACTCGTGATCCGATATCGATACTGTAAAATTATGCATCATTTAAGAAAGAAGTAGACGGCTTTCGGCGGAAGATGCCAAGTTCTACAAAGTTGATTTAGATTAAAGCATCAGCCTGCTAAGTGAGGATTATTAAAGGTAGCGATAAGATAGTGACGAGGAAAAACGAGCCGATCGAATATACGTATAGGCAAGAAAAGGATCAGGTGCACTCGAATAATTAATCTTCTTCATTCAAGTCAAAATTGAGCCACAATAGCATCAAAGTAAACCCATTGGAGAGAGAGAGAGAGAGAAAAGTAAAAGATAGATAATCGTGCAGGAGAGATAAGTAATTTAGGTAAGTGTGTATGTGCATTGCATATGCAGGACGGCGGACGGGTTCTTAAAACCTAGCATCGTCGTGAATCATCTCAAGTACAAATACATCACTTTGGTAATAATAGCACTCTTCTTTCCAAAGAGATAATCTCCTTCATTTTATTTATAATGTGTAATGCATTGTAATTCAAACGAGAATCATCAACCACAATGTGCTGCTCATCCTGATGAATAGATCTCATCATCTCCTCTAATGAATACACACCTCGGATAGCTTTACCCTCCTTTATTAAACCTAAAATAATTTGGGATCTTATTTTCATAACGCTACTGATCTCGAGCATTTGAAATATTATGCTTCCTTGATGATGATGATACCCTGCCAATGGGGAGGTACATATTCGTTCTTTATGACTTTTTGGTCTTAATTCGAAATTATTTTACATTGTTTGCTCTCGGTGCTAAATATAGAACCGTGTTTGGAAATAGTCTGCCTTATCGGGATGTACGGGCATTCACTTCACGTCGTACTACATATTTGTCCAGAGATTTATTGGGAGCGATAATAATGGAGCGAAACCAAATACAGATTGGTGAAGAATGGTATTTACTTGGCTGGTTGGTGATGATATGCGCTGCACTGCTCCACATTATCAGAGTCGGACTACTCGAATGCTATCAAATCATCAGATCATTAAAGATAACGGTAATCTTGAGAAGACCGAGAAGAAAGCTGGTCATACAGGAGGCACGATTACGACCGTTCGTGAGTCATTACTGACAACCGAAGCCAACCACTACATCACAAGTTTGACAGGCGAGTTTAATAAAATCCGAGGACATTAAATAAAACTGATCCACTTTTACTTACTTGGCTGCTCAAATCATAATCGTAATTACCTTCGCCATTAAGTGGTCTCAGAAGAAGATGATCCCTAGCCCGTAGCAGCGGTTTTTACGGGAGCAGAGCATTATCACCATTCAAATGAGTATCGTATCCTCGTCGTCGTCGTGCTGAAGGAAAGGCTTAAAGTAATCACTGCATTGCACAGCTGCAATAACGGTGCTCCATCCAAACTGTGAAGAAAGTTAAATACGGAAAAAATTGGAGTGCAGTGTAACCAAGAACTAATGAGAAGTGATGATTACAGAGCATTTATCACTCTCAGAGCTCACAAATTTAATGCTGCGAGAAAGACTTGGCTGTGGCACATAAGTAGTTGCATCCATAATGTGTTGATCCCTCGCGTACGTATGTGACGACGAGGCGGATGGGGCATGGAGGACGAAATTTATTATCATCATCACTCTGTACTGTAGACAGATGGACTTTCAAATTGAATTTACAGTTAGATTTCAAAATCTCTAATTGAATATGATCTTGATACGTAATCCGTTCGAATGCATAATGCATATCGCGTGACACGGCCATGTTATGTTTAACCAACTCCTCCAGATTGTTGACCTGTGTAGTACAAGGATCCCTCCCCATTCATTTGGACACATATAAATACTTCCATAATCTACACGGCACTCGTTTCGTGATGCATTATATTTATTTTCTTCGTATTTTGAAATACCCCGTTCCATCTCACGACAGGAGAAAATGGAATTTAAATCAAACATTAAACTCACTAATGGTGTTAAAATATGTAGTGCACAGCGTCCTTTCTATTTAGTTTGGATGGATCTCTAGTAGTTTTTGCTTCCATGCTGAGACTTTCGTTTTATAAGCATCATAATGAATATTTCTTGAGATTCTTGACATGCCAAGTGTCAAACTAATTAATTTCAGTTTAAGCTCCATTTGTTACCAGTTTTAGAGCTGCTAACCGAAACGCCCTGTTTTCATACGAAGAAGTCGCTCCCCACCCATCAAGCGATTCACCGAATTCATAACAAGTCATATAAAGAAGTCGCTGCATGGGTAATTATATGGCTTCATCACACAACGCAGATTATATTTTAGCCGCATATTTACACATACTCTGTCATCTCATCTCCTCTTTTGTAGGGAAGGTGGGACGATATTGTGTTGTTGTTGCATCGCATTCTTTGTCCTGTTTATGAGCCACCATAATCGCAGCCACTCTAGTTTCGTATCACGACCAAAATCGGTTCAAAGGGCTGGCCTGGTTTAAGCCCACGCTCAAAATTACATTCTTACATCGCCTCATAATTGGACCTCTCCTTCTTCTTCCCATTTATTATTAACCAGACCATAATGGCTCAAGACGAAGAAGATGATGATGATGAAAATGATGAAAATAATGAAATATAATTTTTAATAACCAGCGAATAATGCACGTACTTATTCGGTCCGCAAGATTTAGGATCCCATTAAGCGACGAGTGTTTGCAGTGCAGTAGGCAACATGTGAACAATCGTCTCCTTTTATTACGTTCATATCAGCAATCAGCGTAGGCTCATATCTGCTTGGGGGTTCTCACATCAAGTTCTCTGGTTTGAAAAAATACGTCGATGCAAGTGTTTCTGAACAGTTTTTGGTAATGAGTTGAGTATACGAAAACTTATCTTATTAGAGTTGAAGAACTGATGATGCCTGAAAAGAAAAGAGCGATGGTTTTATGAGACTTATGCTTCTCCTCGTATGTGCTTTTATCAGGCATTCTGGTAAAAAATGCCAAGATGAGATAAGGAAACTGTGGCCAAGTGCGACGGCTAAATAAGAATTGAGAATGGAAAGGTTGCACGTGTCAACTCATCAATTCAAATCAGTTTCAGTCTCAACGTTCGAATCTCATGTCATCATGTGGAGCCGTTTTGGGGCGAGGATTATGGCGATAGCGATCCCAGCCAACCAAACAAGAAGGCGAAGAATAATGCACAAGAAGAAGATGAGCTAGTGCTGAATCGCTCATTCAACACGTGAACTAATCACACAAAACCCACATGCGCACGTATTAAATGCATTATGCAACACGATTGTAATGCCGAAGAAAAATACGGAATTCCATTTAACTTACGTTGTATGAATAATTAGCAAATTAGTTTTAACTTAGATAATTTTTCTTATGCACATCCTCAAACTGCAATCAATTTCAACATCTTAATTAATGCACAAACAAAGCGATTGGATATGCTCAGGAGGCAATTAGGGGATTATAAATGACGCTGCATTTTCTCGGCATGGGCACCTTTGCTTCTAATCTATTTTAATTTTCGAACAACTCCTAGCTAAATGGTGTCGGATTTATTGCCTTGACTCAGAGTCGCTTAAAGCAAGCTTCCGGAAAACTGAGTTTAATTTTTAATGCACAGGTTGCATCTTGCATATGAGCAAGGGCATCAAATTTGAATCAAAATAGAACAGTTTGGACGGATGGAAGGGAGAGCAGAAGAGGAAGCAAGATTGATCCCTCACCGAGCAAATCTAAACTGGTCACCATTATTCCTACACAAGTTTAAAAGTAATTCATATAATTTTGTTTATTGCACTGTGATTGTGATGCTTTGGTCGGAATAATGTAATGATAGGTGTTCATGTCACGTCCTGTGTTTGGTTCTCTCTCTGTGTATTAGTTTATTAAACACTTGAGCTAAGCATATGGCATGGCATTATCTTTGAGTGGAAATCAGAACCAGTGCATCAGCAGCGGAGGAGTGAGAGGATATTTGGGTGGGTGAGAGAGCTAATCTCGGTTCGGCACAAATCACATCATCAGCAAGTCAAGTAATGACGATGACTTGCACACCACGGATTAATTCACACAGGTGGGTGTTTATTTTGAGCCGCTCAACTGTTTACCTTTATCATTATGCGATGTTCAGTTTCGACAACCATTTCCCGCATCCCCTCATTCCCATCATCTCCTTCCTCCTCTTTCAGCCCTGCCTCGAAGGACGTAATCAGGTTCATGATTTATTTGACCTCATGCTGTCCCCTCCCTGCCCAGGGTCATCACCATCAACGAGAAATAAATGCTGACTTCCACCCACAACAGCGACTTCCACAGCGTCGTAAGTAGTGACATATGCACAAATCAAGTTCAGACTGCCTCATGATGAGCTTTCTAATAAATAATCAACCCAACGAGAACAGGCGGACGTAGCTTGGAATCGGAAATAGCTCCAATCTGGGATAATTCCAGGCACGGAAATGATTCAAATGAATTTGGTGGACGTCAAATTACAGGGGAAAAGTTAATTGTAATATTGATAATATTAGTAAATATACGTATCTCAAGGTTTCTTCTGTCCCTTTAATTTCATACAGGCCCACAACATGGCCCATAAATGTAATACCAAATCTGAAGACGTGAAAATTATCCGAATGATTTGTGACTTCTGGAGGTAAACTTTAGCCAAAAGTAACGAACCGGTAACAGCGGGTGTCGTCGTCTCCTTTATTTTCTGCCTTTTTTCCTCAATAAAAGAACCTTTAACTAATATACACCAACTGTTTCGTCTGCAATTGCAACATTCATCCGTCGCTTCGGTTTATGTTAATTTACATGGAGCAACCTCGGCTTTTTTGGTGATCTACACCATTACATGGACCTATCAAACCAACAACATGCAATATCTGAGGAGGGTATTATTTTATAATACCTGAAACAGGGTCCTCCCTCGTATGACAGAAGGCAGCTAACAGATATATATATAGATACATATTTACGTTATGTGTATCGTAATTTGAGGGAGTAATAACATAACGCGGTGGGTAATAAATTGCTTGGTGATACGTCACCAGAACGGAAATCATTCCAGATAGGAAAAGGCGTTGGATCAAAACGTACTAAAGAGCACAAAACAGGCCGGAAACGAGTGTGGACCTCGCCCCACCAGCCAATCCTCCAAAATCTCATCAACTGTTTGTTCACTACGGGACGACAAGTGAGGCGAGCTCCACCGACCGAGACACTGCATACGCGACGAGTACATACATTTAGAGATGACAAGTGCTTATGTGAATATGCGCTGTTTGGTAAATAAGTATATCCATACAAATGTACAACTTTCATGAATCAGAAGCTCAAAGTAGCATAGAGATCATCAAACAATAGCGATGTGCATAAAGTCCAAAAAACGTACAACTTATGCATTCGGAGATGTTTGATAAATTACACTTGCAACTCACGAATGTACATTGTCACATTCCGCTGGCTTGCTCTATGTAATGCAAATCTCTTGAAAAACACATCCTTTCGCTTCATCTGATTGCATTTGAATAAAATATTACGGAAGGATTCATTAAGTCTGAAATGCACGGCAGCAAGGGTTGACTGGGAGCAAGTCGTATTGTCATGTTTGTCATTGCCATGCATGAATTTATTTTATGCATGAGAAAGCCCCGACTTTGTCTTTATAGGAGCACACCGAGTCCAACTTGATTGCTAAATCACTTCACTTAATGATATTCTTCTGTCTCTCGGATTTGCTGTTTCCTCAGGTGACACCTCATTTTGACGGGATTCTGAATTTGAATGCATGCATAACATAACGAGAATAATGAGATGATAAATGTATGGAAATGAGGGCGTCGTCTCACTAGCTTGCGAATACACTTCTTACTGCTCCAAGCCATTTACTCTTTCAAATCATTCTTGCAAATCCACCATAATTATGACGATTCACAACAATGCACACTGATATCCATTTGTCACAAATTGATGACATGGAAAGAATTTACGTCCAAGGTCCTTTTACCATACTTTTGCATCCTGTAAGAAGTATGAAAATACAACATTCCCTCAAATTCCATGAGAAATTAGGAGAAAACATTTATGTATGTACATATATTGCACGTTTACTTTTCCAAGTTTAAAGTCCATTCTTTGACCGGAGCGGAGTTGTGTTGATGGGTTTGAGTATTGACAACAAGGACCATTCGAGTGTCAATCAAATTAACTTGAAACATCAGAAATGACGGAGAGGCTGAATTATTTTGAGCGACTGTCGCATTAAATCATTTTCCTCCATGCACTTTCCTCCCCATAATATTTCGTCACAAGGCAGCAAAAAATGTGCTTTTGTCATCTTGAAACCGCATCAGCTAGCTTCCAACTTCAGTTTCATCCGCATTAATGCTTTTGTTCGTTTCCCCACTTTTTTAACGGGGAAAAAACGGAGGAAAAAAGTCTTGAATTTCACATATATGTACGTGGATATCTCTGCACGTACGGAAGTTTTGGGAAAAACAAGTTCAATGTTCTTGACATGGATTCGCTTCATATCTTCCGTTGTAAAATTAAGCAAAATGTCATCGCTACATATACTCGTTCATACATATTTTCGTATGTATGCATGTAGGTAGCTGCATCATTACCACCGGTGACAACCTTGTGCACGACCATATGCAGAGCTGATTGTTGTCGATCAGTTTTTCTGTGTTTCATACCGAAGAACAATAATTTACGGATTCGCAGAATTGAGCGGACAATACTTAAGTAGACGAAAAGATTCCGCAACTTGAGCAGTCACAAACCATTAAGCTGGCAAATTTTCCGAATTAGAGCGTTTACGACAGAACGTGTCTTTGTGTCATTTGAGTTGAAAAGCCCGGCCCGCCCCAAAGGTCAAAAGGTCCAACTCGACTGATCTAAAAATTTACGACTCTCTCGTTTTGTCCCCATCCAAAAGAGATGCAGGCACATTATGCACGAGGAGAAAATGCTAACTGCCAATAACAATGGTCTAAATGTCCAAATGAATGGTCCATGAGTAAATAGATTCCTCTCCTCAGAGGCCATTTACCATTTAGCAGCCCTCGTTATTCCATCTTGTTGATTGTTGTATTTGAATAACATGCAGTGTTGAACGTGTGTGGACAATGGAAATTTTAAAGGATTTTCTTGTTGTTGTGAGCGTATGGAGGACTAAATCTGTGCATCTTTATCGTCCGACGCATACATAAAACCAGAGGCACAATAAGGAGGAAGGTCTTCGTTGGTGGGGATTGCATATTCAAACCACGTTTACTGAAGCTCTACTTAAATACGTACAAATCCAGAAAAACTGGATTTACCTCTTTCTTCGGTAAACACATAATTGTTATCCAAACCTCCAGACGTGTGAGTAAATTCCTGAATGAATGGCATAGGGATCTAAATATACACGAGTACATACGTACGAGGGTTGAAGCAATCTTTCGGAATCTCGTTAACTTTAAGACTCTGAACTGAACCCGTTATGACATTTTATATTTTTCTTATCCAGCTGCACCAGCATTTCGTTGACCCACTTTTTATCCCACGCATTCAATTTAACTGACAGGAAGGAGGACGACGAGAGTTAGCATCAATCTTATTATTGCTCCTCCGGTTTTTATAATCATTTTAATTTCCTTGGCCCGCATGTCATGTCCACGAAATGAGATTAAAAATGCATGCAACCCAGCACTCTCCTCAGTCAGGAAAGGATGAAAAATGAAGTCAGGAGTGTGAGGAAATTATTTGATGCTGAAAGTCTTTACCTTGGTCAAGAAGAGTCTTGTTGCGTTGTCAGCCGAGAAGGAGCAGAGCACTTAACCCCTGACTTTTACTCCTATCAACGTCAAAATCGCTGAAACCAGATCAAGTCGAGTTGTCAGAACCATGGTCAAGTGACATCCCTGGAGAGTGTCAAGCCTATTTGGTTACACACGAAGGCATTTGATATGCAGCGAATGGTTGCGAGAGGTGAGCAGTTGAGAGATAAATGCGTACGCGGATGAGCTCGGATTAGGATTAGAATGAGAATGAGGGACGAGGGCATCGCGTTCTTGGCTGGGATAACGAACGATTAGTCTTCCAAAAGCTCTCGGATACATTTCACTCGGATTTTCGAAATCCACTTTTGACTCACACTTGGTTTGAATCTAGAGCACAACAGGTGATACACGAAGTTGTTGGGATGAAAATAAAATCTGACCTGCTGATGTCCATACCATCAAGAATTTCTGGTGTAGCCTAGGTTAGCGTTGTCGGAATGGTTCGTTGCCAACACTGTCTGGGAAAATGAATGTGATTGAGTGAGATTCAAATCAGACATGCGAGATAAACGGCGTTATTTCATTGTTACGCCGTTTCTCCCTTTGTGACAAGTAAGTAAATGCGATAAGTAAGGTAGAGGCGAACACCTGTGTGCTACTGGGATGACTCGTCCGCTTATATTTTCCATTTTAACGTATGTACAACGACTAAAAAGAGATACTCAACTTTTATTTGTTTAGATGTGTAAATAAACTCAATTTACTTAATCAGATTCTAAACTGAAAGTCCAAATATTTCAAATGCTAATTAGCGTGTAAACATTTTTGAAAGATTTACTCATACTTTCTCGTGAGAGTAAAAATGAGACGAATCTTATCGTCAAATCTTATCGTCAAATCGGTTGAAAAAAATCAATAATTGGAAATATTTTTAATATTACGTTACGTTACGTATTATGTTACGTTTTTTGATATTACGTTATACGATGATTATATATTTCCATTTGCTGGAAACCGGAACTGCCACTGCCGCCGTCGTCGTCGTCCACACACCACTTTCCTCATTTGGTCCACCTTGATGATTGTGTGATTATTAGAGAACAGAAATGAGACACTACTTTTTTGGGGAACAAAATTATGAAAATATTCGTAACGATCCCGACGTATGATTAGGAGCATGGCCATTCCATTATCTGTCCACTTGTGGCACGTGTTGGTGGAAATGCAAAACAAAGCGTAGAAACTACCCTCGCCGTAATTCCGACATTTGTTCCATTTGGAGTGATAGATACAGTCATTTGATAAACCACTTTGATCCCCGAGTTAACAACGTGCAGGCAGGATTTCAGTTCTGAATGAAGACCGAATCGGTGTTATTGTTATTAAACACGCTCACTGCTCTTCCCCGTCCAACCAAAGTCACCCTTCACTCGATTATTATTGAGGAGGCCGAGGGAGGGAGGAGGGTGAAGTTATTAATGGAGAGAGGACGACACACGCGGCGCAAGTCCCTGTGCGAATTCGGACGACGTTCCATTCCCACGTGCTGCTGCGGGCCTTGGATAAAACCCGGGTTGAGCATTAATATCGCATATTGTTGACTCAGCCCCTCCCAAATTTATGCTGAGCGAGGGAAGAAAGTGCTAGTGAGAGAAAGGCCGTGGAATGGAGTGAGCAACTCGAACCACGACATCACCAATCAGGTTTTATATGGTCGCGTGCGTGTGAAAATAATATAAATGTGACCCCATTTGAAGAACAATGCGTTGTGGGGTCCATGAAATCCATATGGACTCGCTCATCACCGAGTTAAGTGCCAGCCACGAAGGAAAATACGTCTCTATATTTGCTCATTGCAGATCAAAACAATGTACATCATTCACGATTTATATATTAATCCGTCTTGAGCTCGGAACCAGCAAACGCACTTTTTTCTGCAAACATGGCCATGTACGAGAG